CAATTTTGATTTAAAGTAAAACGACGTTTTGCGATTTAAGCAGTGCTATCCTAGAATTACTGCAATTGAGAGACAAGTTATTCTCGTGAATTTGATAAATTAAATGCAGTTTTTGCTAACTTCGAATAATCAAAGTTTGAAGATAGTTTCCACAATCTGCTGCGCTTCTGTGATGTGACGTTTTGGTATTCTGTGTCAACAACAGACCGACGTGTCAAAATGAAATATGACTTATTAAATGTATGAAATCTGGAGGGGAACCTTAAATGACACTGACCCATCTCTGAAATGTCTGCTAGGCACAATTTCCCGAGCGCTTTGTTCACATACAATTAGGACCTTTCAACCTGTAATTTATCACTCAAAAGTACGCGATTTACCACATTTACTTTGCCGCCATTGTTTGAAAAATATCTAGTTTAAAGCACGTTTATGCGTTATAAATATGTAAACAGAGATGGGAAGGTTTGGTTTATTCTTATATTTGACAAAATAAAGCAAAGATATCTCAAATAGGTACATTATGCTTTATTCCTCAATACCACTTGATTGCCTGATTTAGTTTTTTACAATAACATACAAGAAAATTTGATTGGAAGGGTGTGACCTTTATTAAGTCGAAATTACCATGTCACATAGTTTGGTAGCTTATTAAATCGAGTACAAATACGTTATTGGCGCAAAATAACCTCTTGGTTACGCTCTGACTGGATGGACGATAAAAGAAGAATCACAAAATTATCTCAGTTTTCCAACATACTTTTACTGCTAGGGGATAAAACGGTTGAAGGCAAATAACTAGTGATTAAAATGAAAGTTAGTGGAGATGCCGGAGGACTTAAAACTCGCTGAGTAAAACGTGAGGCAGGTTAAAAGTGGAAGCAACGACAAATGAGGGAAAAAAGACATAGAAAGGAGTGGCTTTTTTCCTATTTAATGAATAAAGCGCCCGTTTTTCGAGTTTCACCGCCTGTGGCCACAAATTAGTGCCTCACCGTTCCGGTATTGCATCCATTTAAACGAACAATTGCCTCAAACTAAGGATAGGTAGATAGTCGATGCAACATCTAACGCATTTTGCTCCCTTTAAATGTTTGAAAACAGTTTTTCTTTATAATAAAAAAGGGTCACGTGGTGGCGTTATGCACGACATTCAGTCTAAGCCAAATTAAAAAGCAAACACTGCCAAGAAACGCTCACCGACTTTATGTGACAGCTGCTAAAGTGACAACTTCTGCAGAATGACACAAAGGGATTAGATCAATGGAAAAGTGAATAATCCACGGAATTTCAAGACAAATAGGATTGTGCGTAGATGTGTAAGAGCAGGGGACAACGAAACAGCTACTTAGGACTAAAAAATAATTATTATTCTTTAGCAAATATTCCTTCTTTCTGTTGGACAGTACAATTTAAAAAATTATTAAAAGCAATTTGCTATTATCGTAGTGTCTAGATCATAGGCGTCATTTTTAGTTTAAATCTTGTTCTCCCTTTGATAACAGGGTCTAGTTGGAGGCTGTGGGAATTGAACTAATGGGCTATGCGTAAATACACTTGCTTTATTTCCACTTTTGCAAATGCAACTTTTCGTTTTATTGGTTACGCAAACCACAACTTACAAGAACGGTTAGCTATTCTGTACTTTTTGGGCTCTGTTTAACTAACTAGTATCAATGTTATTTTCCTTTTTACCCCAAAGCTCCGTGCACTGTGTTCTGAGTCGACAAAAATAATTGGTTTTCATCGGCTGAGCTGGAGAGGACAAGACAAAAGTCGGTTTTTTTCCATGTGATTGCATTTCGAGGGAATGGTGTGAGTAATGATTGGGATGGAAGGAAGGGAGGAAAAGGGGAAGAGAGGAGGAAGGGGAGGGGGGCTGGAAGTAAAGATGGCTGCTCGTCAGAAGGTTACTTTTTGCAGAAAATGAGTTTCTATGGTGGAGTTCACGGGATAGACAATGGGGACTGAAATTTGTCCTGCATATTTTCCCCCTTATTTTTTTCTGATAAGAAAGAGGAAAGAGAATTTTCGTTAAATTAATGCTTCCTTTAAATATGCCTTTACTGTGCTAGTTGCAGTTAAGCTGATTGAGATTTCGTAGTAGTTCTATTTGTTTTTCGAGCATCAAATAAGTTGTAAATGATATGATCTTAGGGCCATACTGGAAGGAAAGATGTCTTAACATAAAGAATGGAGACTGAAATATTAGCAGAAATTAGTATTTAAATTGCAACGAAGTCGTGCATACGCATAAATGTACTGGTTAAAATATTTTTTCAGCAGTAAGTATAAAATATGGCATTACCTGAACCATTTCTACGTAATCAGAATTGGGATTCCGACGTACACATGCAGCACCTCTTCATTATTAGATTGGTATGAGAAATTAGGGCCAAATTTATGTTCGAAAAAAAAACACGCAAGATTGGGGTTTGTTTTAAAATATATTTCGCTTTCCAAAGTCTGGTTCTCATAAATGCTTAATTTCATGCAAAAGACAGAACTGCTTAAGGTAAAGACCTCACTGAATGTAATGGGGAAAAACTGTCTAAATATATTGGTCAAAATCCCGGCGTTGAAGTATATTGGAAAAGTTCCCCATTAAAGAAATTAAGACAAAGGTGTACCTCACGTAAATACGATGCTTCAAATAGTTTGGAAGAGAATACGTAATACATACCTACATAGGTTCAAGCTCTATCCCCGCTAAAGATAAAAAGAAGTAAGCCAAAATATATGCACGAAATTAATCTAACTCGGTGGAAGACCGCTAGAAAAAAAACAGATTTCGTTCAAAGTAATTCGTTTAAATGGACCTACAGGAAAATCTTCATCATCTAAAAGCGGTTTCCAAAAAGTACAGGAAAAGAAAACTTAATGGTTTTTGGGAACACAATAATCAAGTTGTATAGATTTGACGAGAACACCACGAGCAACACACCGATTTTATGAAAGCTAAATCAATTTGAATGGGTTTCTTCGGAGAGATTATGTTAGCATTTAAATAGTGATGGAAAATCCGGTTTATCTGAATGTCCGTCTAGTAGTTCTATTGTAATTGCAGTTTAAGAGCTCCACAATCACTAAGGAAGCAAAAAGGATTTTTACAAGCATTTCCAGGAGAGTGCTGTCACTAAAATTGTTAAAACACAAACATTTAGATTTTTCGTCCCCAAAATTCTGAAGTTTGATAGGACCTATTAGCTTTCCTATAATTCCACGTAGTAGTAAGTACTGAATTTAAGATAGGGAACACCTGTGTACAAGAGACAAAGTTACTTGTACCTCCTCATTCAGCTGAATAGCTAAACAAAATACAATCAAAAACTTTTGGCTACTTAATGCAGCATACAACACTTAAAGTTACTCAAAGTTTCAACCAGGTTTGCTTCGAAAAGGTGACAAATGAAAAAGCAAATAAATAAGCATAATTATATGCCGCCTAGTCATATAAGAATTTAAAGCAAAAAAAATAGATTTTGTTGATGTAGAGTACTTTGGAATAATTTCCTAATTGTGTTCCTCTCACGCAGTTTGTTTTAAATGACGATTTTGATTATGGCCTTGAGCCATAAGACAAATTTGTCATCGTGTTTTTGCTTTTCGCCTATTTTACATTAGGTAATTGACAAATGCCTAATTTCACCTAAATTTAAGGAAGTTTTAGAGAATTGTTTAATAATAAGGACACTTTTAATGTTCCACGTATCCAAATTATAAAGTACGTGATTGAAAATAAGTGGATTTGCAACAAATACGATTACATATCAACAAATCATTTTTGGACTTGTTACTAGTTTTGGGACTCGGCAGCTGCTGTACCCATAGCTTTCAAACTATGAGGAGTACGCAGATAAGTAACTCTGACTTCACCCGTCTCCGCACTTAATCACAGTGGAAACATTTTATAGAAGAAAGCGGTAAATAACCACTTTACCCATGCCCTACTCATCCGTCCTTGCTTTAAGAAGTATCCGTTACTTAGAGGCATTGAAGTCAAAACTTTTTTTTGAAGCAAATGAGCAAAATCTTATAACATCAAACACCACCTAGATCTTTTTTACGTCATTGTTCACAATCTCCTTTGCCGGTTATCTCTACTAGTTCTTCCCCCACTGAGTACATCACCAATTTGCCACAATGAAATTGTAATCCCACTTTACAGAAATTTTATATTGAAATGTATGTGATTCGCCTACGGTCCTTATTTTCCAGCGATGATGCTAGAGCATCACCAAAATTTCACAAAGAGTGGCTATCGTATTTGATTTATCTTACAAGTTTGAATTTAATAATCCCCTTCACTATTAGCAAGTGTCAAAATACACGTAGCGATTCATCCAGAATTGGGTCAGACTAACCATTACCTAGACTGAGCTTCGCAATATTTGTGTCCCTTTTACCGCAAATACTCTTAAAAACTAGTTGCTTTGTAAGGCGCATTCTGCTACTACAAAGGGAAAAAGTATGTCTCTTCAAACCGCCAAATTTACGTATGAGTAATGCAGTATTATGCTAGCAAAACTTCAGGTTAGTAGGGCATGCTACAGGCTGGTAACTATGAACGGATTTCTCAATGAATCCCATTTGAGGGCTCCTGAAGGACACAAGAAACAGAAGTGGCCATTTAAATAGGTTTTAGTGGATCGGTCATGTCATTACTCGGCATATGTTTGCTAGTTAGGTTCAAGCAAAGTTGTGCTAACCGTTTCAAAACACTCTCACCCACAACAAAATACACGTGGTTTTTAATGGCAGTTTATAGAAAAAAAATCCATTTGAATGAAATAACAAACAGATTTTTTAGTGGTTCGACGTGAAAGAAATCCCGTTTAAAGTATAAGGACAGATTATAAGCTCTGTTGGATTACAGAAAAACCACGAAATTGTGCAATCTCTTGGGTGTAAACGTAAAAATAATCCAAAATATGTTTCGCGTTTCAACAGAGGATAGTCAGGGTGGAAAGTACGAAAAAGAGGAAACAGTGAGTGAAAAGTTAGGCTGGTGCTTCTTGATACTGCTGGTACTCACTGATAAGATCAAGAACGTTGGATTCTGTGCTAAGAAATTCAGATTCTTCCATTCCTTCACCCGTGTACCAGTGAATAAAGGCTTTCCTCTTGAACATTGATGAATAGGCAGACTGGATACGACCAAACACCGCCTGTATAGCTGTACTATTACCCATGAAAGTTGCTGACATTTTCATGCCTCTGGGAGGAATATCACATAGCGCAGTTTGACAGTTATTCGGGATCCATTCAACAAAATGAGTGGAGTTTTTGTCCTGTGTATTCAACATCATCTCCTCCACCTCGGCCACACTTAGCCGACCACGAAACACTGCCGCACAGGTGAGGTATCTTCCCTTTAGAGGGTTACATGCGGCCATGAGAACTTTGGCATCAAACATCTGTTGGACTAAGTTGGGCACTGTGATAGCCTTGTAAGTCTGGTTGTCACGACTAGTCAAAGGAACGAAACAGGGCGCTACAAAGTGGACACGCGGAAAGGGCACCAGATTGACTGCCAATTTACGGAGATCAGAGTTTAGTTGGCCAGGGAAACGGAAACATGTGGTAATCCCGCAAATGGCTGTGGAGATGAGGTGGTTGAGGTCCGCGAAGGAGCAGGAGGTCTTGAGCACGTGGTTGCAAATGTCATAGAGAGCCTCGTTGTCGAGGATAACAGTAAGATCGCTGGTTTCGATGAGGTGATCGAGGGAGAATATGCTATTGTAAGGCTCCACCACCACATCCGATACCTGCATTTGGATGGTGCAAGAAGAGAAACAATTGAACAATTTCAGTGGTAAACGAATTGTCACCATGAGATTTGAGATAAAAACAACTGAGCTGGAAAAGTACTTGAAGGTATTAACTATCGTTTAACTGGTTCAGTTTTGTTTCAAAGTGGTTCCCATGATTTAACATTGAACCAGTTTTACTAACGCCTATCAAATGAACCGCTGCGAAACGCGATTCTGTGTAATGTAGTTAAAAGCTTACAAGTGTGTTGAAAATTCAGCCTGCATGTTAATAAGGATTTCAGTCCGATGAGGCTAGATTTGATTTTTACTTATAGATTTGAGGCTAAAAATTCAGAAAAGAAGTCGTTTAAGTCCTAATTGGATAAGAAGGCACAAAACACCTGAGTACCCGAAGAACTGAGGGTATAATCTTCCTAAAACAGCGTCCATCCCTAATTTTACCACAAGACATCACAAACTTTAGACTGATTAAAAGCTGATCATCGAAATGCCACTTTACTGCTTTAGACGATGTATTCTACGATACTTCAAAACTTAAGTTGAAATCGTTGGCGTGGTTAGTAAAGCAAATCAAAGTTGTAAAATTAAATAAGGCTATAATAAGGAATTTTTATTCTTACTCCCATAAAGACGACATTTATTTTTACTTTTAAAAGCGTATAGGACGCTAATATGAGTAAAGACCAAGAGTTTCTATCTTACTAAATAAAGAAGTTGTTTATCGTATTCGCAACTTCTGCATGAATAAGAATACCTTTGGAGAAGGTAGAACAGTGAAGTTGTTGAATATCTTATCACTCCACTCGTCACGCAGTTGATCCATAATAGCACTGCCCATACCGGAGCCACAGCCGCCACCAATAGAGTGGATGATTTGGAAGCCCTGAAGGTGATCACAGCCCTCAGCCTCCTTGCGGACAACATCAAGGACAGCGTCCATCATTTCTAGACCGTCAGTATAGCGACCCTTGGCCCAATTATTACCGGAGCCCGCGCGTCCGGCAATGAAGTTTTCAGGTCTAAACAGTCGTCCAAAGGGGCTTCCACGTACCGTGTTTTGAGTACCCGGATCTAGGTCAATTAACACACAGCGTGGCACGAACCTTCCCCCTAAAATGGACAGAAATACTCGAATGCAATGGACATATGAAATAGAATCAAAGTCCTCTTTTCTTTATTCCTTGCAATCATCCTTACTCATCAGTATCCATAAAACAGAACCAATACGAAGGAAGAATTCCGTCATTCTCTACTATGGCAATAAATTTCATCGAGAGTGGCTTAAAGGACTCAATAACCTTGTCTTTGAGCATCCCATCAATCATTATATTTGCTTCAAAAGCGGAGGGTGTATGAATTTCGGTGACTGACTGGTGGGACAGACATCATCGGTGCATATGACATTGGTGATGATTTCCGCAATTCCAGGGTTAAGGCTTCTTCCGACAAAATGCTAGCACTTGTGATTAGATTTTGGAATTCCTTCCATTCAGCGGCGATGATATGAGTGAAAAAGTAACAATGGTTACCAAGTTTTTGATTTAGTCGTGGTTATGAAATCTATCACAGGCACTTTTTCCATTTGGCCCATCCATTTTTGTAAAGCATCCAAAATCAATCAGAGTGTACCAGAAGTTTTGTGAATTTTTTGTAATTTTAGTAATTAAGTAATTTATCTAGTAATTTTATGTTCTAAGTCATGGGGAACCGAACTATATTAGCACACCCATCGTTCAAATATCTTTCAGTCAACTAACTCCAAAATAAATGCACAAAGAACTTAATTTTAGTAAAATAAGTGGTAAAATAGGCTTAAAATTATCTGCCATTGTTTTAAAATAGGCCTAAAGCATAAATGTGGAGTTCAATCCTACTAAATAACTAATAAAGCATACACAGATTTGTGTAGTGAAACAAAAATTCCAGAAAACTTTTAAAACAATTAACATTGCAGTCCATATTTCCTAATCCTCTCCAACCCGCAAAAGTTTGCTACGAATTGCGCTTGCAAGAGGGATTTTGTCTCTAGAAATTAAAAACTCAATCCTAGCCACCTCCGATTCAAGTTTTAATTTTGCTTTCCAAAGGCCCGTTCTACTACGCATGTAATCATCCGATGCTGAAACCAAGAAAAGCTGGTAGAGAAATGCCATCAAATGAATAAGACGGCATCTTTTTCCCTCTTGCCATCTTATTCTAAAGCATGGCATGAGTTCTTGCAAGCGCAATAAGGAGGCGCGCTTCCCTTTGACTGATTGACTGGCCCTAAGTGGCTCAGGAAACTTCTTTCTGAACATTCGCGTTGTGTCGTTTTGTATCAGGTAGAAAGAAGTCGTTTGTAATTGATTCTTTGCTTTCAGCAGATGAACAATTTACGGCCAAAAGCGGCATAGTCTTACAAGAATAGAGGATGAGGTAATATGTGCCTTAAAAGTTTAAGGTAGGTATTGGAATAGTGGATTGCTTGGGCATAAGCAGTGAATTTTCTATCCACCTGACGAACATTGAAATATAAATAAAAGCCATTTTGCGTCAAAAGTGAGTCAGTCAGCAAGTCATTTAGTTGCTCCGAAAGCGGTCCTCTCCCGAAAAGTTTTTATAAAATGTATGTAAAGAAGTGAAGTGAATGGCAAATTGATGGTCATTGAAGCTTACGATTCTCGCTAGTACACGTAAATGCGATCCATTTGCTAACTTTCAACACAATCTTCTATTCCATGTCGATGTAGGTGTACACGAATTGTTGTATCAATCAAGTTAAGCAAGGCTGAAGACTGTTCTTAAACAAGTTAATCTTCAATTTCTTCACTCAGTAGGGCATGGAATTCATCTAAATGTAAATCAATCACTACCTTTGAGTGCTTCTTCACCAACATCAAATTATTTACTTAAATTGTTTGATTCTGAATGGTGCGTTCGGCCACCACACACCGCAACTTCTTCAAATGCCTCCGAAGCTTCGAAACCGAGTTCACATGCATTGGATTAGTTCAACCGACATTGTATGATATAAGAGTGGGTTCACAATAAGAGAAAAGTGTTGGAGATTACCCTATCGATAGACCGTCGCATTGTTATGCATTATGATACATGTGTATAAACAATGGTACAAACTCTGTATGCCTCTGCGCGTTTTACCAAGGCATTTTGGTGAGCAGCACAAAAAACGACACGAAATGTTTTGGGTCACCTAATGTTTAGGCATAGTCCATAGGCCAATAGATCGAGAAATTCCGCTACTTAGTGGTAGATATTCTAAACGTAGCAAGGCCAAAAAGCCAATTTTTTTGCTTTCTGGTAGTAAACAAATAGGCCGAGATTTCGTGATTGGCTGCTATGCCAAAACTGAATTAATTTAAGGACAGGTACACTGCTGTCAAACAAACGGTTATGTATACTTTGGAGGAACGATTTAGTCTACACGAATGATGTCTATTTTTAGGCGAACAAAGGATTAGACGAGCGGTTTAAATTTGCTTGCACGAAATTGAAGGAGACCGAAGTCCCCAAAACACAAGGAGATTACTGGAACTTGGGAAGTTACTGTATTGTTAGGTAAACTAATCACCAGTAAACAAATTTATAGATTACATCCTGGCTAAACCTTTCATTTAAAGTCGGGAAAAAAAATAGCCATACCCATTGCTTCAGTGTAGTAGACATTCATTCGTTCTAGTTGGAGCTCTGATTCACCATGAAAGCTCCCATTCGGAGATACGCCATGTTCGTCAGATATAATTTCCCAAAACTGAAATTAACACAAATTCTTATGCAAAATTACTAATCCCTTAAAGAAAAAGGCCATTAAGTTAAGATAGGAAGACGCTTGCCACAAAATACTCTCATCAAGCATTAGACTGGCCTACGTGGGTTCCTACAGGGCCAGCAACCCGTTGTGTTATATGATTTTTGTGCATAAAAAAACATAGAAATGGTATTAGTGACTTTTAACTCACTGACACAAACATGGAAAAGTGAGACCATCTAAAGTCATTGTCCAAGCAAAATGACGATTAAATTAGAGATGCTGACGTTTATTGACACAGGGAAATTCAAAGTGACTTGATAGTTTTCATCCACGCTTCCACCAAAATTTGTAACAAAACTAACTCAAGCCATAAAATACTGCATAATTTGATGCCATTTCCTATATCTAAGCAATTTCTGTTGGAGTTCATGCACCTAACTCGCGGAACGGGACCGCTTTCGTGCTGTACTTACTTCATCTTGTCTTTTATTGCATTCGTTCATGCTATCTCCGATAGCCTAGTTGTGACTTACCTTTATTCCCGTGTGGTTTCCACATTGGCCCACTTGCAACACGACAAGTTCCCGCATTTTTTGGGGAGAAAAAGAAGAGGAAAACTAGGGGGATTGATCCTCGCTCCACCGTCACCCCGCGTCACAATTTTGGGCACGTGAGCCCCCACCGAGAGGGAATTAAAACACCGCACAGATCAATAACGCGCCCCGGTTAAACTCGTGTGCAGCAGACAATGTGGCAGAAAGTCATTTCTGCCTCGATTTGCCCTCTTCCTCTGGATCGTAAAGCCAATGAAACGCTCCCAGTAGGCTTATTTTGAATATACTAACTGATCAAATTTATGGTCCCTAAGAACAGTTTATAATAAAGCACACACCAAACCTTCATTTAATGATGTCATACGCCAGATGCCATGGGGCTGGTAGACATGTAAAATGGGAAAGAAAAGCGCATTTCCTGATCGGTAAAGATGAGGATTTCGAATTATGTAGATTTGTAATTTGGAAAAGTGACAAGGGTAATCTTCTTAAAGCCAAAATTAGGAAGGATATATTTTAATGAGAGAATTTTACATTGCAGATGCAATTTCACTCTCTGACACCGAATCAAAATTGGTAGAACGCGGAGTAACCTTAATCTATTAAGTTTACAGTAAGTAAAGATATTTACAGCTATTTCAACAGACCCCTATTTTTACACCAAAACGGTTGAGCTTAGCGACACTTGCTTAAAAATGGAAATAAAACTGGCATAAAGGCCAATGGCTTTCAATTGGGATAGATCCCATCGATAGACAATGACAAGTCTGAACCCGTACTGATGAACTGATACAATCTAGACGTCTTTCAGAAGAAACTTTACAACACAAGGATCTAGAGTAAAATCGACTTTACAATATCAGCACACGTTGAGAGAATGTGTTGAGACGCAACGCTTCCGAGGCTTTGTAGCACGAAATTGATTAGGATATCATTTACAGGATACCATTTTATCCTGAAGCCCTGGACGATTTTCAAACTAAACAATTTCATTACAAAAACGACTTTTTATTCACACCAGAAATAAATGCTAACATGAAATAGATCCAAGGCTACTAGCGCAGTTATTAAGTACAAGTCTTCATTAAAACAAGATCCTTAGGTTACCTGAACCCGTTTAAACCTGATTCACGGAGTTACCGCTTTAAAATGGCACCAACTACGTTAGATAAAAGCGAGCATTCTTTTCGGAGAAGTGACATTCTTGTACCAGTGTACTTTCAAATGAAATATCACAACACCAGCTCTCACCACCCAGGATTTAAATAAGATTAAAATAACAGATAGTTGACTCACAATATTGCATTTCCTTGGTAATAATTGCATCAGCACATAAGGAAGAAGAAAACATGTATGCCTGTGTGTGAGTTTACGCAAGCGTTCAAACCGATCTCAAACGAAGGTGAGTCGAATTTTTCCTGTACATCAGCAACAGGCAGCGTAGAAGAGAGCAGTCCATAGGTAGGTATATACACAAAGAAGGAAGTAGGGAAGGAAGGCCTGTGTGCGTTTACTTGCTGCGTCGCAAAGTGGAGGGTGCCGACCCAGAGGTGGCAGAGGGGGTAGAAGCGGTGGCCGAATCGTCGGCGCCGCGGGACTCGGATTTGAGACGAACAAACTCGCGCGCCACCTCGTCGGAAGGACGTTGGGAGAGAATCCGGAGGATGGTCCACCCTGTGTCGTCCAAATACAGTCGGCGACCGAGTGCGCACCAACAGGCGCACGCTCCACTCGTGCCCAGACCAAGGGTGTCGGTGCTGGCGGTGAGGTCACGCAGCTGCAGCACTGTCAGTCCGATCAGGCGGTCGGCTCGCCCGAAACAGTAGTCCTTCGCGCACATGTGCAATTCGTAGGACTCAGGCTCTGAACCCGCACCAAGCAGGCTTGACAAGAACAACAGCATACAACAAGATGTGCATCTACTGTCCATATACACCTCACCTGCATGCTAAACCGCTGTTGTCTTGGTTAGCTGTGTACCTTATTGTAAAAATTCGAAAAATTACTAAATTCCTAAACTTTATTATATTTTGGAGGCGTATAGTCGACACAGTTCCCAAAACATGCTTTGTAATGCGAATTGCTTCCGGTATACTCTCTTTAGGTAATTTTTTGGGAACTTCAAAATAAGGACTGATCAAAATATATTATCTGCTTAATCAAAATAAAACTAAAATTTACCGCAGATTATACCAAGCCGAGATAGCGCTCGACTACGGGCGAAACCGCTCGGCTTATGGGAATTAATGTTCGAGGAAAGAATTTATCTAATATAAAATCCAGCGGTACAGAGTTTAAATAAAAACACGTTAATAAGATTCTAAAAGCGCCAAATTCTACTAGTTATTAACTGAAACTGAGTAAAAATAATAGGAAATTTCACTACTTCGGAAAAACGACACAATCAGAATAACAAAAATTGGTTGTTTGTGAAAGTGTATTGTCCGTTCTGCGAAGCTAAATCAGTAGAGCCAATGGAGAGTTGACATACCACAAAAAGTATCAAAATGTGGTAGAAGACAAGACACGAGGCCTTACAAAGTGCAGGACTCATTGAAGATGGGAGACCAGACACCAGTCCTGGACTTAGTCGCGAATTTGCGTTTCTTGTCTGCCAACAATGGCCCGATGATGTAGACCTCTACAAAGGGTCTGAACGTCCCGCTGGTCACCCATTTCAAATTATTTGCTGACAGAACTGTAAAGAGAATAAAGTTGAGTAGAAAATGGGTGGAGGAGAGCAAAAAAGGTATTACCATAATTATAGTTTTATAATGGTGGAAGAAAGGAATAAAACAATGATATTTTAATGGAAAAATCTTGTCAACTTACTTGAGACGGTTACTTTGTGCTCCCCATGTGAAGGGTGTCGGAAGAGATCCACCTGAATGGACAGCTCTCCCACGCTGTCCTCCACAGCGGGTTTGTCTAAAAAAGGTACTTTTTATTCAACAAAAACAGCTAACAAAAGCTCTTAAGTTCATCATGTTAGACTTCCTTATTGAATAGCTAACGGTTGGCAGAGGCAGTAGAACTCTGTATAACACCGAAATAAGGTGCAGTAGGACTGTTAAGCATGAAAATACAACTGTTAAGTATTTATTATTAGGTACAAGTGTATTTTCCCATGAGGATGCATTAGGACACCATCTGAATTTATGGATATCGTTCAAGCCGGCCCTTTTAGAGCGAGTTTCGTAAAAGCATGAGAACGTAAAAATTTTACATGACTTTTCATCAAACGGACAAGGAAACAGAGATAATTAAGATTACCAGGAAAATGAATGGCTGAAATTGGAATTACTAATCGACCTACACTACTACGTCGATGGTGCAAAGAGGTCATTTGAGACCCCCACAATGTAGCAATGATCGTATAGCTGACCACGAAGGCCGTCCCCTTCACTTTTACATTGGTGGAGTGCGTTTGCACTCATGCCTTCCATACCACTAGGCCTTCAGTCCTTCTGCAGGTGGATGACAAAGCTGCTTCAAGAATTTCATACCTTATAAGTCTTCAGAGGTAACTCTCGTGTCGAGTGCTTCCCAAAATATGCCCAAGTACTAAACTTCTGATCAAAGTCACTATCATAAGCAAGTTATCATCAAAAAGTCAAATCATTTCCTAGTTGAGTAAAAAGAAGACCGATTCTGAAGTAGAATAGGAAGAGTAAGCAAACAAGTACTTGGAAGAAAACACGGTAAAATGATGCCATAAATGTAGTGAAAAAGACAATTTTCTCCAAGCTACTAAAAATTGCTTTTGGTGCCTCTCACCTTGCGACTTCTGTGAATAGACAAAGTTTTTGATTAACGAATCCGTTGGCTGGGTGTACAGAGAAAGAGCATGTTGCAACGACTGAAATTCCGGCGATTTTTCCAGATAATTGTTCTTCAAGCCACTGCCACCTGCGTGGAAGTAAGTCTTGATGGCATCCAATGCGATTGCCAAAATTTGACAATGACGCGGAGTCAGGTTTTTTAGCGTCAAATTGGAACTCTCCTTTGACATCTCCTAAGGAATCAGCATAAAATGCATGAAATATGAGCTATTAATTCAGTCATAGCAGATAAGTGTGCTGGAACTGACTTGAAGAAGTTTGCTGTTGGGCAACTGGCTACTGACATTGCTCAGTAGGGTTTGTGATACGCTTGTCAGTTTGGCCGTAGCATTGGAAGGAATAGAGAGATTGAGGAAGAGCGCGCTTGGATCAGATACAGGAGGCAAGACTACCTGCTTCTCGAAGGTGAACATGGTGATCTTCCAGAGCTCCTTCAAAATCCGTTTTAAGACGGTTTTCTCACAGATGTCTGCGTAGACAGACAGTGAGGACTCAAAATGATCCATCAGAGGCCGAAGAACAAGGTCCGCTTCAGATTCAATATTCGCCTTGAAGTTGGATGAAATCTGGTACAGAGATATAGAATTTAACTTTACCTAAGGCTCTATAAGCTTGCATATTATCAACACTGTCCCTGACCTATTTTGAAGAGGCCACACGAGAATGGCAAAATACTTAAAAATTAATTTTGATCGACAGCTTTTGTTGGATTCTAAACGAATACTGAAAGTTTGGAGCCTCTTTTGCAATGAATAGAACAAAAGGCGAAGACTAAAAACCAGGTTAAAGTTACAACTCAGAGGTACCTAAAAGTTTTGTGATTAAAACAAATTAACTTTAGGGCTTTTATATCATAACTCCGTAACCAACTAGGTAAAACTGTCGAATGGAACACCCGAGTTTGACTCAGGAAAGTAAAATCATTTGTCAGTGACTTCAGCGCCAAATTTTGAAAACTGAGAATAGGAGGAAAGTATAAGAAATGACTTTTTACAAATGCATCAAAGAAGCCTCAAAATGATGGAAATCGATTCAAGAACGATAATTATTATTTACACAATCTTGCGATCTTTATTGTTTTTGCCTGTTAAAAGCAGCATTTTTAGAGCTAAACTCCATTCAATTCTGCTTCAAAATGGTAAGTCATTGTGTGATTCCTAAAAATCGTCTACAAACCAAAACTTTGTCCTTCTTCACAATTCAAGTCATATTTCCAAGACCCGAATGTTTATTACTTGTCATTTCACCAATCATGAAAAGACATAGAATTAGGCTTCGGACCGTAGCACCACCATTTGAAATCACTGCTTTAGGCATGAGATTATTTCAGACCCGCCTCCATCTCACCTGATGCAGGAGTTTATTGACCTCCTTGATCTTGCCCAGAACAATTGGACGTAGCGCAACCGAGTATTTCTCTGCCATCTCATCGATCGCATCGTTGAGCATTTGTTGAAGGTCATGCATCACCGCCTTTGTGTCCTCCTTCAAATTCGCATCGCCGCCCATTGCCTCGTAGACTTTTTCCAGTTGCACGCGGCACTGCTGGATGTTATTCATAAGGATGCAGGCAGTCTCTTGCGACTCTACCCAGTGAACGAAGTCAGCTTTCACCACCTCTGCGTAGGTGAGAAGTACCTTTCCCACAGTCTTTAGGGAGAGCACAAGTAAGAGCATGTAAATAAAAGTAATGGGGATATTTTGCTAAACACACTACAGAGTTTAAACCGTCGTAACATGAGAAAGGACATGTTCTAAAGATTACGTGATTTGTGGGAACCTGCTAAAAAAGCACTTTTGTGAAGTCGCTTGAGAAATGGTGGACAAAAAATAACAAACGTAATTTGGTAACTTCAATGATTGAGCTTTAGCGCAACTTCTGGACTAAAATGTTAAAGTTATTATGTATTATAATATAATATGTGCTTTTGAATATCTCAGACTGAAAAGTGGCAAAATCTACTTGTCAGAACCTGCGTGACTAAGGACAGTAGGCTCGATTACTTCAACTACTCCAATTCCTCATAAAACTGTAGACTGTAGTGGCAGATTTGCGCAAAACTAAGAGCTAATAACCAGAGAACGTTCAAATGCTGAATTGTCAAGCCTAAAATCACACAATAAGCGAAAGCCAGCAGTTATTATTTCATCACCTTGTTAAGAGAATTCATCAACGATTTGAAGATACGACACTCTTATTGAAATGCAATGCTTTTAATTTTTCAAAATAGGCAAACTTTGCGAAATTGTTTATGCATTTAAAAACAATAAGGGAACGGATAGCCGATCTCAGGTAAACGGAATGAATAGAAGACCCGATAATCCCTATTGGTACCGGATGAAATTAGAAATCCTGTAATAGCTAAAGAGAAAATGAAAATGCGCAAATTGGCGCTAAATGAGAAGGTGATCCAATGAAGTGGCATTCACTACGAGGAAATGGACATTTTACTCGCCAGCTACAGACTTATAAACCGGTCAAATGGCAATATCGTGTTCAACTTTTCACGACTGTTCTTAACCTCTTGACTTGGCCGAAATTCACCTCTGCAATTGGAATTTAATAGTCTTTTTAAAATTCTTCTTCAGACGTTAGGCAGATTTTTTTGATTCTGCGATCGGAAGTCATCATTAAATGCGCAATTAAATGCTGAGCCTCCACTGCAGAACACATTCACTAAGGTGGCTTTAGCCCTTGAAATAGTTTCAACCAGTTTTAAAGGAATCTTTTTGGAATTGCGGCAGTACTTCTTTGAATGGTGCAATCGAAATCGCTTGTTTGCAATGTACTAGTAGAAAACAACACTTTGTCCTATTTGATTTAGGGAAATCTGTGATAACGTTTAGGAGCAAATCTGCAAAACAAATCTCCAAACATCGAAGTTAATCACGCCATCCTCACTGGAGAATAACACTGAAATTGCAAAATTGTTAACAATTTCGGCCACTTAAGATGGTGATTGGGTGTTTGACTGCAGTCCATAGGAATATTATAGGCCCATCCACAAGCGATTAGTGGTTTGTTTACAGATAACCTCAAACATATTTTAACATAATACATAGCCCTTTTGGAAAAAGTCAAAATTCCGCATTTATATATAAGTTTCCACAATTCACAATTCCGCTTAACCTGTAGTTTGCAATTTTAAGTGGAATCGGAAGTTTCGATGCCTGCATCCGAGACTTAATCCTAAGTTAACAAAATTTGCTTGAATAATTCATCACGCACCAATGAAAACAGCAACTTATATGGTAGACGAGAAAATGGTTTTTCCAAAAATATCAAGAGACATGAGTCTAGTTATGGTTCCATATTAATTTCATTTGTGATAGTCTGAGTTGGCACGGAGTAGAGCAAAACTTTGCCTGTTCTCAATATGGTGTATGTTGATTTAACACGTACAAAAACGAAATCTTCCTGACAAGACTAAGTAAAGTATGCGCTTTATTTTAAATATTCTCGGGAATAGCGCCAGTCATGGTAGTAATGATAAAGAACTAATTAAAGTTTTGATCCAGTCCAATAAACATGGTAGTCAAATTGTCAAACAATACCCGAAAGCGCAAAATATTATAACTCCATAAAGCCTAGACAGCGAAATATTACTCCCGATTCTGTCCATCTGATTATCAAACTGACTTCACCAATGGTGCAAGAAGACAATAAGCATGACTTTGGTGACGGAGTGTATAGAATATTATTAATATGTTATTTTCATTATTGATGAGAACTTTCCTATGTGTGATACATTTTATTCACATAAGTGTAATCTTTATGTAATGAGATAAGGAGAAGGTCATACACATGTTTCGGTAGAGTAATTCTTAATGGTTTTTAAGGTCAAGAAACGACACTTCACTTTCCGTGGACACTTTGTATTTTTTACTGTAAATTTATGCGCGTGTTGTTTGGGTACGAATTTACTATTTGAAAACTGGATCACAAGGTATCAATTCACTCCATGACTTAGGCCGTTTTCATAAAGAGTCATACTTAATGTGCATTCATGAGGTCTTTTGAAGAGAAAAGCAAAAAATGAAATAAAATATTTGAAGATTCTAGAAAAACCTAAAATGAAATAGGGGAACGCCATTTATAAAACACCTCAAAAATAAACACAAAATAACAAAGAGGAAAATAATATTTAAGCGGCCGTGAGATCCCGATTGCAAATAGGTAGACAAAATGAGAAGACCTTAGGAATTCCGTCCTGAATTACAAGTGTGAGTCAAAGAAAATAAGAATAACTGAAACAATATCAAGATTCCTTTGATTCTCATGAGCTACCAAAGAATTGGTAGGGAAAGGAAGAGAAATAATGCCGTTTGATTGATTCTACCAAATTAGACCCAACAAACAAAAAAAAACAATCAGGAATAGCTTAGCATGACGCTGGAGAAGGTCCAAATTACCGGGACTTAGCACATACACTACACCTCCAAAAGCTTTGGTGTTGAATCGGTGCAACTAAGCGTGCAATTTAAAAATCCTAACGGATAAAAGGTCTCTCTTTTATGAGAGAAGCACATACCTGTGAAAACCGGTTAAGGAAACGGTCATTAACAACCGGATCTGGGCACTCCAATTTTTTCATGATGTCGAAACACTGGTTTAACTGTGTGAAGACGTCCACAACGGAGTTGGAGAAGAGGGCCTGACCGCTGGACCGGTGAAAACCGTCCTTTTTGTCACGTTGATAGGCATTTCGTAGGAAATCCATGGAGATTTCATCGTTCTCGTTCAACCATTGCATCACGAACGGCTCAAACCAGCTAATTAGGGAAAGACCCACTGGCTCAATGAGAAATTGACTGGTACGTCATTTATTCAAACCTCAGATCAAAATTTCGGCACTTTTAAATCAAAATATTCGCAAACACGAATAACAGTAGAGTCCCCGAGTAAAGTTTAAAAATTGGACTTTTATTTGCGAAAAGCCTAGGAAGTCGCCACTTAGAAATACACGAACCTGCGTGTTTGATAAATTATCTTTTATGCCCACTTAATGAATTGTGGGGGTTGCATCTAAAGAAAGTAACAGACAGTTCAAATCGGGAACCCGGTAAGCTAGTCAATGAACAAATTAACTTAATATTTGTATCAGCAATGCTGTCAGCAAATAATCCCATCCCATTAGACAAACCTCGGATAGGCCGGAACGACGTTTTTAAATTCAGGAACATCTGCGATTCGGGTGTTGTAGAACCACTTAACCTTAAAGCAGAGGTTCATGTACTCGGAGGTCTTGCAGTAGCGGTTGGGACTGTTGGCGTGCTGTTCCAGAGCGGCAGAAAGGTCCTCTGACAGCCTCGTCCACATACAGTAGGCGCTGATTAGACCCATATTTGCTTCCTGTGGAAACCTGTAATAGAGGAGAAGAGGTATTCATCTGACAATCACTGTCAGATTCTATTCCTTATATCAGTTTAACTGCACTCAAAACCGCACATTGACTCCGTCCATCATGTTCAAGTCATCATGCCAAATGCGTGCGGCTGTCATCACAACGAACTCATTTAAGTGCCAGTAACTTGCTCATAGACTAAGGAGTGACTTTGGCGTTGGATGAGTGGCTTTAAAGTCGATGCGATGCTATCCACAGCCCTGTAAAAATGCGATCATGTTATAAATGGGCCCAGTGCTTCAAAAAATCGGAGGGAATATGTAAAACGGATTGATGCACCATTACAAACAAGAGGAATTGAAGTGATTCCTCTTCGCCCTTACGCAATAGGTGATAATGGCAATCATTACCCAAACTTATATATGCAAACAAAATCACGTAGATGTGAGGTTTGTGTATTTTGCAAGAAGCTAAGAATAAGTCGTAAAAAACAAATGGGTGAGAGCGTGATCAAAATAGAAACGAAAGGAACTGATTCAGCTTTATAGAAGTACTCCCCAGGTTTCGAAAACTATGGTTCCCTTTAAGAATGGTCACCTCGTAAAACTTCGCTTGGCTTACACCATTACAGTCTCAATGCTTGCTGACTAACAAAAGCCATTTGAGAAAACCCGCGGAAATGAAGGCCTTTCCATTAATGGACCTGAAAACCTTCTGATCACAAATCCACTAGCAGCTACGATAGTGGGACACCCCGAAACGGCACTACAAACAGGTAAGAAACCGTTTGTCGTACTGATAGTAACTAGGATGGACCGCAATGCACATTCTACCGGGGTCCAACCATTACAACACCAAGTGTACACAAGGATCTGATCATGTCATCTATGGTACACGGTTTCAGGGTTGTTTGCTGTACTGTTATACTGAATCCGCTCACTCCTAGGTTGTCACAAACTCCGTTTAATTTAAAGCCATTCCTTGAGCATGCCTTATCTACCAAGATGCTCTCCCAATGTACTCTTACGCGTATCAAATTGAGACGATTTCCCTTTTACCTTCATCAACCCATTCAAAGGAGATTTTTTCATTTTGTATCCATAGATTTAATCAGTGACTTTTGCGTGTTGTTTACTTCGAAAATTAGTTTCGCACTTTGGGATTTTAAACTGGCCTATCGCCGCTATTAAGGCAAATTAAGCTCATCTACGCGGCAGTTACAACCCTTGCAGTCGAAAAAATTCTTTATTTTAAAGTGGATAGTAAATTTTTCAATGACACCTACGATTTTAACTGGTGATTCACTCTGGTAATAAAACAAAAGAAAAAAATAGTACTTTAAACAGGCGACTAAAATGAGTCATTTTACAGAGACAGCCAAGTTAGTAAAATTTCAAAATTTATAAGCGGAGGAAAAGAAACAATCTCTTTTTGCTTCGTAAAAGTTAAAATTTATACCTAAGTGTTGCGCAAGAAAATTAATATTTTTAAGAACTTTTGAGTTGGATGGCTGATAAAATTCATGTTATCAAAGACTGATTTTACATATTCTGCAGAATTCAAAATAATCAGATCCTCAGAAGAAGCAAAAGATTTTAGGGAAATTCAAACCTACTGATTGATGACAGCTGCATAGGTGGTCTTGTCTTCTTCAATCACTGAGACCAGGAGAGCGATTAGGTGATGCCAAAAGTCGAGAGATTTAAAGGAGGGGCCAGCCTCATCCGTCGAGACTTTCTCCTAAGCAAATCACAGGTACACAAGCTAGCAAAAGTTTGAATAGAAATGCGGTCAGAGCCAAGGTAGAATAAATGAGGGGAAGGAATGGAAAGATCAAGACATTTCTCATTTTTGCAGCAATGTAACGCAATAAATACGTGAGATTGACAATCAAAATTGAATAAAGAATTGGTCAATTGCCAGATTTGATATTTCGATAAAATAAGTATTCGCAGCGGTCAGGAAGATGGCGTAAGTACCTTTGCATTAGGATCATTGTTTAAGAACTCTATTGTGAGCGGTGCACTTGTAAGGCATTTAAACCTCTGGACAATAGGCTTGATAAAAGGAAAACTTCCACAAAACACGAGCAGTCAAAGCTCCAAGTTCGATACAGACATTGAAAAGGCACATCATTTCCATCACACTGACTTTGAAAATGCATCTCTCTGATTTGGTACCCAAATGCGCCTTCTTAAAACCAAAAGAAATCCTGACCTCTGCCATAAGTATTTCCCCTGAAATTAATATGCAATCCACTCGAAGACATTGAGAAATTTATGTAACTTTCGCTCCCATATAACATACATTCTGCTCATAAATTAGCCGTATTTTGACCAATTGCCAGACACGTAAACAAATGCTATCAAGTTTTAACTGAATTTCCCATACAGACGGACACGACTAATTAAGCGCCATTAGGGGCAGAAAAATAAGCCCACTTTACCTTCCAGTTGACAAAATACAAAAGTTTGATTTACACATAAAATGCTACGGAGCTAAACAGTCGCCCCTGAATCAAAGCATAACGGTTCGAGAGTTCAAAAATAATTACAGTACAAAATTTAAACATCGGTTTCGACAAATTAAAGAGAGGCTAGGTACTCAGCTAAATCCAAAAAGGTGTTTTGAAGTGATTAAAAACTACCTCAATCGACAAATGAAAGCGGTAGAATCATCTTCAATGAAATTTTAAGATGTTTTATGTCATTTTAACTACGTGAAATTCTAAGAAAAGTGCATAGCAAATAAGTAGTCTAAACGAAAAAAATCACTCAAATAATATTCACTTTAAAAGGACAAAATTTCACATGTTCCGGCTAATTAATCTCTTCGCTAATAATTGCCTCAAATAAAATTAAAGAAACTTTCACTTATTAATGTTTTGCAAATCCCAAAACGCAACTGACAACTTAAACCGGGTGTCTGACAGGGCTGATTCACTGTTTGTAGATGGAGTCATTAAAAGTTAGAGTAGTCCAGAAAGAAAGGTAAAGATTGAAAACCTGGAATTGCCTAGCATAGAGGTCGTTTGCGTTGTCATAGAGAAATTGGTAGGTTGTTTGCATACAGGCCTGAGCACACTCCTTCACAACTTGACTAGCACGAGGTGGACTTGTAAGCTCTTGTACCTACAAATTTTGACAAAAAGAAGTTATTCTACGGGGTCAAGATACAACACTCTGGCCATCTAGAATTGTCTAAAGAGGTTTTAAAAACCGAAAAATTAGAAAGCAAATAGATGTCTATAAAAGCATGTTATGATCTCAATTAAAGCGCATTCGGAGAAATGTGATGTGAATGACAGTTCGATCTGTTAATCTGAATAGACGGTTTGTGTTTTAATGTGCTTTTGTCCGTGAATAAAAGAGAAAAGAAATACCTTCATCCTGAAAAACGTAATACTGGTAAGGAGGTCGACAGTGGATTTGAGATCCTGCAATTTGTCTGGTTGAGAGGCTGGGAAACAATTCTAAACAAAGATGTGGTAAAAGAAGATCGCATTTGCCAAAAACTTGGACAGTTAAAAATGCTCAATAATAAAAATTGTGGTCCAAAATGAATACATGAGAATATCTTAGGAAATAATTAGTAACAAGTATCAACAACTTTTTTTGCAGAAGAATCAAAATCTAGCTCACCCTATACATGGAGAGACTAATACGCAGCGAATTATGCAGTTGGTCGAGTAGCTTTACAAATTTTTCTTTCTAAAAGCATTAAAAAGTGAAGTAGAGTCATGAAAAAGGAAACAGCTTTGAAGGAATCGGAAGTGCTAGACTAAAACAGTTTTCTTTGTTTCGGATCTCCATTACAAAATGGAATGTAGGGATTTTGAGGTGTTTCTAAAGTGTACAAGGAAACAAACACAGGAAATCCTTTACACAACTATTCAAAAGATTATTTAACAGCTATGATCACAACGAATTATTTTTACAGCGATAACAGTGGGCAGATAATTACAAGACATCATACAAACGTGAACCAGATTTCCCGCCTTATGAAATTTTTTGACAAGGTAAATCAGAGATGCTAGCCAATATTTTTATCATAATAGTGGCTATAAAGATTCTGTTCCGTGTATCGAACTTTCAGCTATTGTCAAATGACACTTAAAGAATCAGTGTGGCGGACGAGGGGGTTGCAGAAACTAGTAAAAAATGAGCAGCTCAGCTCCATCGGGAAGCAACCCACATGGCGGGCAATGGTAATGGCAGGTGAATGAGTGGGGACGGATGTTGTGACTAAGATCTTTGTCATAAAGGACGATGCTATACTAGTACAGAGGACTTTAGGCACAATGTATTGATAAAAGTCTCAGCCGCTCAACAGTAAGAAATTTGAGTGATATACGTAACCAGAGATAGCCCTGCTTATATTTAGTGGTGACGATCCTACCCGTAGCAATTCCATTCCCAGCTTCTGGCAGTCATTTGTATGAAAACTCCGAAGCTAAACCACCTAAACCTGCGTAAGTAGTACAATCTGTGGTAAATTTTCGCACAATTATTTTTGCGCAAAATTGTTCGCCTAGGTTCCTCTTAGGACGGCTCAGCCGTACTGACGGATCTTTCTGTGCTGAACCCGCTTTTTGACTGCTAAGTAAGTGCCGAATCGTAGCGGAGGGCTGTCAAATGTAGCTAGAGTTCCCACTTTCTAGAATTAGCCCATTTTCGCAAACTCAAAAGTTCCAACCAAAAGGTGTTTCAATGGGGTTTGGGGCACAAATAAATGCAACGCACCCCGAAGTTGCTGGCACTGAACCGCTCAGAGGCGGTTTGATTACTGGAAGCCGAGGTATGCGCGTAGAAGGCATTGATGTTAGCCAACAGACAGGACATAGTGGCTGGCACTCCGGTGCACATAAACTTGGTCGTGAGACAGGAGAAGTGCCTACAGGAAGAAATCAGACATGGAAAATGTACTTTGTTGTTCAATTAGTGCGCTAACTCAAGCGACTGCCCTATCTAGTAGCTTACTCTGATTCCATCTAACTTTG